AGAGACAAGTCTCTTCGCCTGCACTCTCAGAGTGTGATCTAGTATTCTAAGACAAGACCATGAGTCTCAACAGAGTGAGGTCATCTTTCCAGACCTTTCTTGGTTTTGCTGTAGCATGGGCCTGGCCGATGAGACTGTGGTAGCTCCGAGACTGAATGCTTTATCTAGGTTGCCTTTCTAGGTCACTTTCCACCAAAAATTCTATATACCTGTGTAATTCATGGATGATTCCAGTTTCAGCAGGGCAATATCATACCCACTTTCTGCCGCCTTATATTGATCATGAATGATTATTTCTTGAACCCTGAAGAAAGCTGTGTCTTCATTTATTTCTGATTGGTGCACAATGTCACCATAGACACGCAGGTGTTTAGATGCCTCTGTCCTAAGGAACAAGCAACAGAGTGAAAAATCAAAAGATCTTTCAGCAGGCAATTCCCAAACATTGGTGCTTCATGGGTTTTTGTGCTCTACCATTGCTTCCACTGTTAGATGGACAAAAGGTGATTTTAGTCTAAAGCAAACTTAGTCAAATATTTCCCCTACAAAGAAAGCACTGGATAGTGTTTACTTTATATTGAACACATTAAACAAATGATCTTTCCATCCTCCAGCATATCCACAGGCTCAGGAAGAGTAGGATTTTAGTCTCAACTTTGTCACTGACAGAAGAAAAAAAAAAGGTCTTTCTGTGTTTCCTCATATGAACTCCTAAAGGGACTATTGACCCCAAGTGTACCATTAAGTTATGAGCACATGCGCGCATGATGCAAAAAAAAAATGAACAAAACCAAATAAATCTGTTAAACAACTGAGAGAACACTGAAAGCAGACGAGGGGAGTTTTGCTCAACCTGACTTCCTTGGGATACACACTCCCCCGGCGGGAACATTCACATTTGGACGATACTGAAAATAATGAGAGCAAGGGCTCCAGCTTGATGGTGTGGACAGAACTCTGTGTGTTTGGGGGAAGAGAAAGAGAAAAGAAGGGAAGCATGACTCAAAGAGCAGGCACTTCGGAGCTTCAGTCTGGCCCTATGCAGCAGGGCCAGGAAAGGATACAGAGCCTTTGGGAATCATTTACATTAATGGTCTGTTCCGGCACCTGCTCTAAGGCTGCCAGATGAGGAGTGATTGACTCTTCCATGCAATCAGCCCTCCCCACAGAGAGAGAATTCATTTGGTTAGCAGGATCATCTATATTTTCAAAGTATTTATTTACTACTATGGCAGCCCCAGATTTCCCCTCCATCCGATGATGGCGACCCGAGGAGGACAGTGGCGGTACTAACCCAGAGAAGCAGTGAGCGGCTGTCAGTATCCACTGGTTTCCGATGATGGAGCCTCCACACAGGTGTCCCTGGGTGGGCGAGGTGATGTGCAGGGCCACCTGCCATGGCCACTCACCGTGAACAGACGCACTTCCTCCGACAATCCTGGACTTGATTTTGGTTGTGCACACTACAGCAGAAAAAGCACGGTGAGTAGTCACCTATGGCGTCATTGTCGTGGGTCCTTCTGTGACTTGAGAAATCTCTAGGGAGCGTTCCATCCCATAAGCAGGAAAGCAGCCTTTAGAAGGTTAGTGAGTGAGCAGTAAGTAGGACACACTACCAGTAACTCAATGAAGCCCTGCAGTAAATGTTACATCTGAATGTCTGTTCCATTAGTTTAAACAGGATGATCAAAGTGTACAGTGCTCAGCATTGCATTTGGGATTAGGAAATATGTCTTTTAGTAACATTGCTAGGTGTCTTTAGAAAGTCAAATTACATTGGAGACCAACCACAGCGTAAATATGACAAACACCTCAGTGAGATGTGTCTTCTACATGAGGGTATTATGTAGAAAATACTGCACAGTGCTACCTCCTTCTCTAATTAACACCTCAGAAGGCAGACTAAAAGGGCATACAGTTTTATTTGTCTCCATATTTTCTCCTCTAGCTATCAATCTGCAGCTGATATAGTCTGTCACTTCCACAGGCCAGAGTCTATAAATTCAACAGAGAAGAACATAATGAAGGCAGGAAGGGGTGAAAAACAGAACCTTCAATTTATCAAGGTGTCAAATCTGGAACTCAGGTTTTAAAGCATGCCCACGTCACTTCACAGTACTTTGTAATTGTCCTCTCTACCCCTAAGAAGTAGCATTAAGACACTACTCGGTTTAAATGTTCCTTCTCATTCGGTAAATTTATCATGAGGAAAATAGAGGATACATGAACTACAACTTAATTCTCTTTCTTAAGAGTCGTGGGTCACCCAGAGATTGCCATGAAGACTCTGAATTCTAGGAAGACGTGTTTTCCAGTTAGGACATTAGAACATCCGAGTGTGCTATAAATCAGAAGTTGAGCATCGAGTCACCTTCTAGCACAGTCAATGATGTGACACAAGAGAGTTTGTACTTCTAAAACTGTCACAAGGAGGGAGCAGTGCTGTGTTTTGTTTATGAAAACAATTGCATCTCAGTTTACAGGGCATCATAACACTGGGCATTATGCAATACATATAATCTTTATTTATGCTTCACTGAAAGATCAAGTGGGAAGAAAATGAATGATTTAATTATGCACTGGTTGATAGTTTAATTAATGAGAATTAAAACAAAGCAAAATTATTTTGGTTTTGAAAATAAGAATTAGCTTTTTGGGTCTGTCTCTTCAGGAAGTTCTTGAAATGACTGAAAAAAATATATAGAATATGTTATATCTGTATCTATATAGCTACATCTATATAGATATAACATATTCAATTCATCAATTTATGTAGGATTTAATGAAGAATTGATTAATATGCTTAAAACATAGGAATGTTGGGCAAAAGAAGCTAGAATAAAGGAAAATTTCTAAATTTGTTAACTTACAAATTATCTCTCTTCTGTATCTATTTTTGTCCTTTTTAATACAGGGATCTTCTTATTTAATCCAACCTGGCCTCAAACTCCTGATTCCCCTCCCTCAGCCTCCTGAATGCTGGGAATATAGGCTTGGACCATTGTTTCCACCCCTCTGTGGTGGTTGTTTGCTAGCTCTGGGTCGACACATTCAGTTGAATATTTCCCTTCAGTTGTACTGTTTTCCAATCCTCACCGTTATCCATTTTGCACAGCCTCAAAGTGTATCCAGAGACGCCTCCCGTCCCATGAAGTATTCTAGTTGGAGATCCATTTGAAGACAGTTTTAGGGAGCATCTTCCCCTATGGTTGAAAACATACAGTAGAAGCATAACACGGTCTACAGAGAGGTGCCCCAAACACACCCACCTGACTCTGCCTTACTTCCCTTCATTGCGAAATCCTCGAGATGGGGAATAGGTAAAAAACTGGCAGCGGACAGCATTGGTGCACGTTTTCTGGCAGGTTTCGTGGCCTTTCACTTCAACAATATCCAATTCTTCTCCCAAGAAATCAGTGTCATTGTAGAAGGACGGATGGCAGAATACTAGACAATAAAGCACGAGGCAGGCTTGAAACGTGTGGCCTTCACATTCCTTCATCTCCTAGGGACCATTGAGAAGGAAGCTCACTGTTTACCTGGGGTGCTATGCTTGCAATGCTGGAGACTGAAGCCAGAGAGGACGTTGTTCCTTGTAATGCGCGAGCTCGGTAATCCACTTTCAGATGTTTTAAGGAGGCAAAGATGTCTATGGGGCAAAAGGGGGGATGTATAAAGAAATCCTGAGAAATCGTGCTAAACGTATTCAAGAGAAAGATCACTGTTAGAGCGTATGTGCAAAGTAAAGTCAGTTCATAGCATTTAATAGCAACCACATTCCTACCACCTCTCTTGAAACATTGAATTACATTCCATAGACTGTATGTCACTGAGAACTTATCAAAGCATCTTGGAATTTGCCTGGTTGTGAGTGTTCTTAGAGTCTCCCCCTTGTGGTGTTGCCGCTTCCAACAGGTCCAGCCCATCTCAAAGAGCCTGCTGCTTGGATATCTCCTATCTTGTTTGTATAGCCCGTTTTTATTGCCCATGTTTAAAAAAGGACAAAAGTCACCTTCAATGGCAACTTCTTACCTTTGAGATTCTCTCGGCCACTCTTGGGAAAAGAATGTAAAAAACAAACAAGTGGGGTGATGTGTACAAATGCGTCGACAGACAAAGGCATCTGGGGCCAGCACGCTGTCAACATTGAGGTCGGCAAGCATCGTGTTAGGGAAAATGTCCCTAATGCAAGCTGTACGACAGAAGAAGCTGTGTTAGGATGTCAGGGCACGGGCAGCATCATAGACACTCCAGACAGCAGTTGTTCATTTTATTAAAAAAGGAAAGTTCATCCAAAGATCTTTACCCTCTTATTTATAAAAATAAGCAGATTATTAGTAGAAATTTAAGAAGAAATTTTTTCCAGGACATAATGAAGACAGTGAAAGGTGACTGGGTCTGCTTCATCAGGGAGCATCAGCTGTTTTCAAAGTTTGACCTATTGCCCACATCCTCAACACTCTGCAGGCTTAATGTGCAAATATCTCATATAGAAAACAATAGTTACCCACGTTAGACAGTCCACAGGACTTCAGTGAAAATCCCGATACCACATGATTGAGCTTTGTTATTCTGGTTGGTGTCCCCGTTTGGGTGTACTTCAAAAGACAAGTTTTGCTAAATAGAACAAAAACGAAAAATATTATTCTTTCCGAGACTATGAGAGCACAAGAGGATAAGAAATTACCATCCGCAGGGAGGAAATGGCTGTAATAACAAAGGAATTGCTCCGAGGAGTGTTCACCTGCAGGGCTACTTCAGTTCTGGCAGCTTCTCTAACAACAGGGTGGCCCTGTGGACTCCGGAACAATGTTATCTCTCACATGACGACCTGAGAGGCCTGGTGTGGTGTGAGGGGTGGGGTGTGAAAATGGGTCATTTCTCTAGACCTTTGTGACTTTAGCCCTCTAAGTGTGTTTTTTTAGAAGCGCTAGGAACATTTTCCTGACCTGCAGTTCACATTCTATTAAGTCTAAGACATAAAAACTGTCCTCTGAGGGGAAGTGCTGAGAACCATAGAAGGCTATTTTCCATGTTTTATTACTGATTTTTGAATACATCTTTAATGCTTTGCTACCTTTCATTTCTTTTTCAAAATTGTGGAAAGGAGATTATAAATAGACAGTGCTAAAAACCCAACTATAAAATAATAAAGTTAATTGTGTAAATCTGGATTATGACAAAGAGTTCTAAATTTAAAACTGAACATTGGGAGTTCGAGAATGGCTCTTCTCACCTCTACAGTTACCCGCACACATGTGCATCTATACACACAGTATCTACACACACACACACACACACACACACACACACACACACACACGCACGCGCAATCTTAAAAGAACAAATCATATAACTTTAATAAAATTTAAAAGCCAAACATGCAGATTTAGTCATTTAGTGAACAGATCACTTTTATATTATTATACAATAGATTTCTTCCTGGAAGATTTCAAAACCCCACAAGAAACAGTATAAAACTTTGTCCATGGGCTTGAATTGTTTCATCATAGGGAAGGAGCAGAACTGTATAGCTAGCTAGATGGATAAATCGATTTTATTTTCGATCCTTTAGGTCAGGACTGCTACAACGTTTGTTAGACTGGGAAGAGTGCTGCCAATCAATCCTCTCTCAGCTCTCTCTATATTACAAATGTAAAAATGCAGGGTTTTCGAAATTAGTTCGAATATAGGGTAAGTAGATGTATGCTTTACAGCAATGTTGTTGAAGCAGAGTCTGTGAGTCTGCACTATATGTATTGTGTATGGTGTGTGTGTGTTTGTGTGTGTGTGTGTGTGTGTGTGTGTGGTATGTGGGTGTGCAAGCGTGAATGGGAAGTCTAGAGGAGGACTTTAATGAGAGACAGAATTCATTAAATCTGCACTGACCAGAGAGCCCCAATAATCCTCTTATCTGCCCCCTCACCCTATCCCCAGGCCCCAAGCACTCGGGTTAAAAGTAAGCACAATCGCATCTGGCTTTTATATGGACACTGGGATCCAAACCCGGGTCCTCATTCTTGTACGGATAGTGCATTTACACACTGAATCATCTTCTAGCCCTGAAACACAAAATCTTGATTATGAATTAAGTGTGTGCTTATTAGACATTCGATGAGCTTTTCATGACAAAGCAGTGATTGCTATTATGCAAAAGTCTCTGGGAGGGGGGCTACGAAAATTTAGGCTTCAAACTGATGAAAATAACTAAGGAGTCGGTGGTTTTCTTGCCCCTGGCACTCCTCTGCCCCGGAGCTCGGACACCGGTCCACTCACCGATGCTCCACACTGGGAAAACGCCCTGTTGCGTATGTGAAAAAGTGACAATGGGCATCATTGGTGCACCTCTCTTGGCACTCCTGAGCATTCTTCACGACAGAGCTGTTGTAGTTCATGCCCTTCATGTCTAGGTCCACATACACATCTTTGCTGCAAACTGGAAATGAAGGCAGGAAGGTGAACAGCAGCGACAGAACCCGGGGGGAAGTGACAGCAGCGCTGCCTCTCAGCAATGGCCCCCTAGACTCAGACCTTCCTTTCTCGCCCACTTTCCCAGTGTAGTCCCTTGTTTTGTTTCACTCTGTGCAATTCCTACTTCCTCTTGGAGGTGTTTTGAGGAAGCTAATGTCCTTCTTATACAGCAACAACTTGAAGCTTGGAAATCTGCATTTTGTCTTTCCGACCTCGAGCCTAAACTGCACCAACTAATTGATTCACTCGTTAATTTATAGAAAGATATACATTTCACGATTAAGACATGTGTCGCTTCAGTCTTTGGAATTTCTTTTCCTTTTGATTTGAATTAGTATCTAAAATAGGGCTTTTGTGTGCAATTTCAGGCTGGGAGGAAGAAGGAAATAAGAACTAAGAACTGAGGTGCTGACCCTACTTTATGAATTCAAAGATGCTCATGACTGAGAGTGTGCTTTTGGCGGGGAGGGGAGTGCAGATACCCACATGCTATACTTTGCGTAAGAAAGTCTTCTTGCGTAAGAAGCTTAATTCTGGATGGTAGTGTTTTATTCTATGCCACAAAACTATATCGGAGCAATTCCATGTATCAACTATAATGGCTAGTGTTTATTACATTTGCTAAGAAATCGTACCACTTAATTGCTGAGGGCACTGCTTGAACGAATATCCAGAAACTGCTCCCGTCATGTTTACCATTGGCAGTGTTTCTGTAACGCTGTCCTTCAGGATGCAAGCAAACCTGTTCTTTGGGAAAAGATAACATTCCTCAGTGGGAATTCATGTTTTGGAAGAGTGGATCCTGAGGTCAAAGAGAAGGAAACAAACCACTAGGTCTCGGGCCAAAGCAAATGTTTACTTAACAAGATTCTGACTTTGCTTTAATTTCAACATCCCTACATTTAAAAGAACACATATGACCTTCCTCTCCAACAGGACATGAACAGGACAGGAGCAGGTAGACTCTGAACTATTGCTAAACTGTTGTTAAAAATCTACCAGTGTTATATGGTCAATGAGCTAGAATGGTTTTCTGTTTTACAGGGCTACATATTATAAAGACTCCTCTCTCTCTCTCTCTCTCTCTCTCTCTCTCTCTCTCTCTCTCTCTCTGTCTATCTATTTACCTATCTATCTATCTCTGAGTGTGTGTGTGTGTGTGTGTGTGTGTGTGTGTGTGTGTGTGTGTGTGTACATGCGCGCATGTGCATGTGACATTCTTAAGGAAGCCAGAAAAGGGCAATGGATCATTTGGAGCTGGAGTTACAAATGATTGCAAACCTCTGGAAGTGGATGCTGGGGACAAACCTTGGGTCCTCTAGAATAGCAACCAATGATCTTAACCACTGAGCTGCCCCTCTAGCCCCTATATGATTACATTTTTATGGTGTTAAAAATATAGTATATTCTTCTCTTTGCAACTGGTCCAACAGAACCTAAAGTTTTATGCCGTCGCTTGTTCATAATAAGAGGCTTTCCAATCTCTGTTCTATATTTCAATACAATAATTCACGTTTATGGTACTATGTGAATCCAGCAAGAACAAACAAAGATAGTGTCAACTTAGTTGTTTTCATAAAAGATTATATATTAAATTTTAAGTTTAGCATAAAGACAGAAATGGATATAATGCCCAATATTTTTAAAATATGAATAGGGAGTCAAAACAGTCATAGGAAACCTGTGAAATATGATGAAAATTTAGCTGCTATAGATAATATTTGAAGTGTGTAATGGTGTAGGGTAACATTGTTGAGCTTCTTACACTTTCTCTGTTGTGAAATGTTTGTTGAAGTATTTAGAGGTGCAAGGCTATGGGAATTTAAAATCATTTCCAGTATTTAGCTGTGAATACCTACAGGTTGTTAAAGCAAACATAATAGGATATTAGAAGGTGCAGGAGATATTATTGTAATATTTCTTCATGGTATTCTTATAAACTTTTTTCTAATTGAATGATAAGAAGAAAGTTCTAGATAACAGCCATTACCACTAACAGATAGCAGCAAAAAGACAAAATATAAGACAAAACATAGAAGAGAGAAAATATGATCGTAACATATGATCTAAGGAGGCATTACAGTTTTTCACAAAGGTACCTAGACTCCATCCTTCCTGTAATATTTAATGATTCAGTGGAAGGAGAACTCATTTTCCAACTGGTGACATCACATTTCACAAACTGAAAAGAGGGAATTTGTGTGGAGATAATCGACAGTGGTAAGGAACTGGCCTCTGAAATTAATTGCTCTTCAGGGAAACATAAGGAGTTACCATTTGGTAGGATCTTCCGAAGATGACTCAGCCATGAACGTGAAGAGCAGGCACCGTGGGTGGTGGGTGCAGACCAGTTGGCAGTACTTGGCACTTGGGGTGAAAACAGTACCAATGTCACCTCCTTGAAAGCAGGTGTCTTTAAAGAGCTTAATGACACAGCCTGCGACAAGACACACATGGCACACATTATTGTGGATTTTGGTAGGCTCTTACCGTTAGATAATTCAATAAAGTCAGCGCTACCCTGGCTGCTTCCGGTAGACTATGCCTGAACTCGAACATCAGATCAATTAACACTCTCCGGTTAACTTCTGTGGTGAACAGCCCCAGATGGAAATAAAACCACAAACACCATAGTATTGGCCTTGGTGGCACCACCGTTGGGAGCGATTGTCTTGGAAAGGCTGAGGGAGCAGTTCAATGATTTCTCAGCTGTTGGTTCGCAAAACATGATCCTCAGGAAAGCCCTCCTTCATTGCTTTAACACTGCAACATACTAAAACCCAAGATGGATGACCTCTCCTACGATGTCATGTTAATGTTGAAAATGGACTCATTTACCAGCAAGAAGTACAGAGCCCAGGAAAAGCCGTTGGGTCGTATTGAGTTAAAACCTCAGATAAGTTTTTCTTATAAAAAACCAGAGTACATAAAAATTTAAAAGTCCCCTGTTGCTAGAAAGAGATACTTAATAATCCATAGCCTCTGTATCCTTTGGGACTGTTCCCTAGTAATGACATAAAAGGTTACAGGTCTGATGGGCGGTGGTGGCACATGCCTTTAATCCCAGCACTCAGGAGGCAGAGGAGGGTGGATCTCTGTGAGTTCGAGGCCAGCCTGGTCTACAAGAGCTAGTTCCAGGAAAGGAACCAAAGCTACAGAGAAAGCCTGTCTTGAAAAACCAAAAGAAAAAAAAGGTTACAGTTCTTCATGCAGCCATATAGAACTCCTGTGGAAATACTTCAGGAAGAATAAACTCTAACTCAAATCTGAACTGTTGTAACCAAGTCAGTAAATGCCTTGAGAGGGTTGTAGGTGCATAGCAGTCAAAACTGTCACGTGAGGTTCATAGGACTTAGCCAATCAACTAACTCAGAAAACTTCCCCTGGTTTTTCACTGGTCCCTACGGAAATGTGGTACATACTTGTGTTGTTAATATCAGCATTTATCTAGGCTGCTATCAGTAGTGTGATGTATCTGTCACGGTGACAACAGACAGAATCCTTATGACTCTATTTCTATTTCTATTCAGTTTTAGAAAAATAAGATATGAAATGTCTGCCCTGGCAACACTGAAGCATGCATGGGGGCCCCCGTATATGGCGGGTCTGTTGAACTTGTCCGTATTGGGTTTCATCATCTAAGTTGGCGAGGACGACTGACCAGGTCTCCTCCTCAAGAGAGCATCAGACCTCATTACTGATGGTTGTGAGCCACCACGTGGTTGCTGGGAATTGAACCCAGGACCTTTGGAAGAACAGGCAGTGCTCTTAACTGCTGAGCCATCTCTCCGGCTCAACACTAAATCTTTTCACATAACATGCTACTCAGAACCACACCTAATTCTTTATTGAATATTTTCCATTTTAGCTGACCATATTTTGATATAACTAATTCCTCCATAAGTCTATCTATTTTCAATCCGTGTACTTAGAAACACCATTCATTCCAAGAGCAGACTCCACAGCACGCCTGTAGTGGCTAAAGGAATCAATGGGGGGAAGAACAATTTCACCACAGAGCTGCCTCCGAAATCAACAGAGGTTTGGCAGGGAGCATAACTCTCTCCATCTTGACAAGTATCCCAGGAGACAGCTGTGGATTTGACTTTTTTCATATTCTGCATTGTCTCCTATCAAAGCACACCCTGGCAGCTTCTAACTCACCAGCGGCCTGTTCCTATCTCACACTATGTCTGCTAAGCCTAGAAATTCAATGCCTTCATACAAAGCCGGCGTGTCACCTTAAAATGTCACAATCAAGAAGCACAGCAGGTTTGGATTAACCTTTAAAGAATTAAAAATGCAGTTTGAAAAACAAAACAAAACAAAAAACAAAAACTAACAATTATGTCAAGACAGCACTGACAATTTACCAAAGAAATAACAATGGAATTTCAAACAATGACAATGAAGGAATAACGTGAGTAGCAATCTTATCACAAATAAAGACTAAATTATAAACTGTATAGTTTAATCTTTTGCACAGTGTTTATTTTATTAAATCCCTACCTATATTTGCCATTTTTCATATGTGCAACACCAAAAAGAATTTACTTTGGTTAAAGGCCAGTGACAGTCTCAGAGAGTCAATGTAACATAAATAAATTACTTTTAAAAGAGTCTTTAAATTTTCATTTAAAACAAAAAATAAGCATTGGGTGAAAATATTCATATTAAGTTGTTATAACCAATATTAATTAAGTTAAAACTGTACTAATTAAGTTTACTGAATATTAAGTAATTAACAAACAAATTCAATAGCTAAATTAACCAAATGGGTAAGCTGTACATTAATATTTTGATAACATTTTCAGCCCAGAATTGGTGTGTGTGTGTGTGTGTGTGTGTGTGTGTGTGTGTGTTGCTGGACTGATTGCCTTATAGAAAACTAATCAGTGGGGTGACTCAGGCCTTCAGCTTTCTGATATTGCTCTTAGGTACCATTGTAATGTGTTATATAGGTAGATATAGGTGGATGCAGGTCTATAGATAGATACAACCATTACACAGATGATATAGGCGTAGTCTCTTTGTAATCCTGTGTTTATATCTCTTTCTTTCTTTGGACCCCTTAAGTGGAAGTCTTGATTGGAAGATAAAATGATTTTGCTTCCTTTCCTGGAGTTAGCAGTATGGAATTAACCCACAATATGTGGGGACTGGCATGCAATTTCTCTTCATAGACTTACGTTGTTTCCCACTCTACAGGTCAAAAATGAGCTATTTCTAGGCCATATTTAAGTGTTGAAGAGAGTCCTTAAAAACTGTGATTAAGATGCTGAAGCATAGCTCTTCACAGTTGGCTTCTGCCAGGGACTGGGGAAGGACTCAGGGTTCTTTAAGGGACGGGACACTGGGAGTTTGACCATGCTCCAATGAGTACACTGGCAACACAAATTGGACTTGGTGAGGTTTTTTGTCGGGTGGTGATGCAAGGGTGTGAGGGTGGACCTGTGAGGACGGGGAAGTAAGTGTGATCAGGGTGAATTGCATGAAATGTCCAAATAATTAACAAAAGTAATATGTTTGGAAAAATAAAGCAACACTTACCACCAGAAACTGAGACAAAAAAGATAAAATATACCACCCGATGTAATGAGATCATCCTACAAAGAGAAGAATGTCAATGATTTTAGAGCTTAAAGTGCAAATATATAACCCCCTCCCTACTCCAATTTTCCACCTTTATTTTCTCTTCCAACTCATTTCCTTTCTTTTCAGTTTTGAATCCTCTCTCTTTTTCCAAACATATATATTCACACACACACACACACACACACACACACACACACACATACATATATACATATATATATATATATATACATATAAATGATTATCCTCTTTACAATTTCTATTTCTGAAAGAAAAAAACACTAAAAAATTTGTTACTATATTGTCTTGGTCCCTTGTAAATATTCCTGCCCTACTAAATACTGAAAAGGTTGTTAACACACACACACACACACACACACACACACACACAGCCTTATATCCAGTTCCTGTATTGCTCTTTAGTTTCTTTTTCTTGAAAAACACTTCTTATTGACTACAAGCTAGTGTCTTCCATTCTGCCTCGGCTCTCAAGTTGACTGACTGTAGGGGGTGATTAACTGCATCTGCCAAGTAAAATCAGATACATTTTAAAAATCAATCTTTTCATACGGAAAAAGTTAAGCCCTCATTGCAGAAGAGGGGACACCTATTAGGCATACGTGGTTGAGAGAAATGTTCAGTTTTAAAGTCATACCTGCAGACACTTCCTCTGTCTTCGCTGTAATCCTCAGTTGGGGTGATTTCTCTCTTCAGTGTAGTCTTGTTCTTCTCTAAATGAGCTTGCGTAGGACACTTTTCCTTAAATGATTACTTGTACTGGTTTCCTTTGTCATGTGACATCCTGTCTTCACACAGCGTGCTCAGCGTGTCTGGTGTCGGAGAAGGTCCTTTCAGTCCCTGCTAATGAAACCTACCTCACCTACCTCAGGAGAGCAGCAAGCTCTTTCAAGACACCAAATGTGTGTGCTTTCTTTCCACTGTGTACGCAAACAAGCAGCGCACACCGAGATGGCCAGAGAGCCTGACCTTGCCTTAGCAGTTGGGCAAACTCAGATTGAGGGTGCCTGCCTGCCAAATGTATACATACTCACGCTTTGAAACGCCAGCAGTGCACCATTAATTCTAACTCAACTGCAGTCTGAGCAGAGAAAGACAACAGAAATCAGATGGACTTGGAGATTTGCGGTAGAGCGAAGGGAGGAGAGACGTCAGGAGCTAGAGGCCGATGTTGGGGCCTGGAAGCTGGAAACTAGGGACTGGGGACTGGAGGCTGGAAACTAGAGGCTGGAGACTGGGGACCGGAGGCTGGGGATTGGAGGCTGAGCGCACAGATCATCAGGGAGTGTCCTGCCTCACACTTCCAGTTTTCTTTTTTATGACGTCAACTTTTCAGATGCCGACAGAGATGTGATTAATGCTGAGGAACAAAGCACACATGTTGCCTCTTCATGAATACTGACAATGAAAAGGAAATCTGTAGTCATGAATACTGACGATGAAAAGGAAATCTGTAATCATAGCCAGTTCTCACAGGGTTTCTGTTAGGGCTCACTGGGACTCAAATGCCAAGCTCCAAAGTGGTATGTGCTGTGATGCTTACACCACTGACAATAACAAAGCAGATAGGTTCCCTGAAGGATGAGGGACTTTGCACACACAGGAGCCTCCCAAGGGTAGGGCTCGCTGCCGTTTATAATGAGGAAGGTCATTCCACACAACTGTATTTCTGCTAAGGTGTCCCCTTGAGCTGGAAGAAGGATCAAGTGTTCTTGGAAAAACAGGACACTTTGTGTCCTCTGTAACCAACCTTCTTCAGTTACGGGTCACGTCACTGTAGCAAACATAAGTTATTAGAGCTGTAGTGTAAAGCAGTGGCTGATGGATACTTGGCCACCTGCTTTGTTGCACTGCCCTTCTTGTCTCTCATTTTTAATATTAAACACTAACTAGCCAGCTGTGGTGGTACCAGCCTGTTAATCTCAGCACTAAGGAGGCAGAGGCACAGGAATCACTGAGTTCAAGACCAACTTGGTCTAAATAGTAAGCTTGAAGACAGCCTGGACCACATAGATAGAGAGACCCTGTTCCCAAAGCAAGCAAAAACATGAGCTAGCTGTAAAGATTATAGCTGTAAAGGTCTCTTGTAACCTCATCAACACATGCACACACGCACATACGCACACACACAGTGGATTCCTAAAGGTTGTCCCCAGACTTCCGAGGGTGCTTTGGGATAGATACTCATAAATACATGTTTTGTTTTGTTTTTCTGAAGTCTGATTTAAGTGGCTTTCAGAGGAAGGTGATTGAAGGTTCTGGAAAGGCTTCCCATTTCCTACAGAAAATCTAAGTACGAGCTTGTCTTTACAAGTGCATCTTTGGTTAAAAAAATCATTCTGAAGACCAGAAAGAAATGGGATCTGCTGAAGCCACCTGTACCAAAGGAAGAATGCACTTCATTCCAGGGACAGAGTACCAACAACAGCTTCTGAAACAACAGACTTTCAGAATTTCAATATTTGGGGACATGGAGACACAGTCCCATAGTCCCATTTTCTGTGTATCACAGCTGTGCTGCTAGGGGCTTTCTGAATAGATTCTAAACCTGTCAGATAGTCATGCCTTTATGGAGAAATGAACCAGGGTATGAAATACTAGACAGCCCTTTAAAACACTCCTACAAGGTCTGGAGAGAGGGCTCAGCAGTTAAGAGCACTGACTGCCCTTCCAGAGATCCTGTGTTCAATTTCCAGCAACCTCATGGTGACTCAGAACCATCTATATTAGGATCTGATGCCCTCTCCTGGCATAAAGTCTATAGAGTGCTCATATATATAAAGAAAATAAATAAATCTTTAAAAATCACACAGAACAAAAGAAAGAAACACAGCAGAGGTGGAAAGGAAAGGAAGAATTTCCTGGGGAAATAAGAAAAGGCATTATCAACTTGATAGTAAATTTGAAACATCCTCCACAGAGACATGGAAACATGCCTGCTTGGGCAGAAAGTTATGTGAACAACTTCCTGAGGGTGTATGTTGTGTGTATGCACAAATGTGTGTGTATGTATTTGTGTGTGCGTCACTTAGAAGAGATCATGGCATGAAGTGCTACTCCACTTGCCTTGCTATGTTAGAAACCTGTTGTAGTAACTCAGGTACTATGTTTGGATCTGCTGTTGCCAGGCACTGGTGCCCACATAGCACACCATTACACATGCACGTCAACAAAAATGATAGAAGTAAATCTAAAAGAAGAAATTACTACATCCCTACCCATGTGTTGTGCTGACAGAAGAGAGCAACAGACAGACAGAACCTTCTTCAGTTGCCAATAGTTTGGTAGACCAGATAGGTGCAAACAAGAATTACAAGAAAAAAAGATAAAGATAAGAGGCAGCCCTTGGAGCTTTGGGCTGAGCTCTAGAACCCAATGAGCAATGTGCTGTGTGTTCCCCATATGTGAGATGGGAAGAGGAGGATTCTTCCTCGGAGCTGACATGCCCTTTCTTGGGTGGACCTGCCAAAGCTCTAGGGCCTTGGGCCCTCACAATCACTTGTGTGCCTCACATGAAAGTAACATTATTCACCCTCTCATTCTTTCAGCCTCTTAAGCGCACATATTAGACCCACGAGGTTCCTTTGTTTACTTTGTGTATGAACACATGATGAAAAATAAATAGAACATTCCAGTCCAACTGGCCTCCAACTGGCGACTTTATAATGATACTTTATGCCACGGGAGAGCTTCACATTCCAAAGCCCTGCTTTGCCCAAATGAGGCCATCCCTTGAGAAAGCAAAGGCCACAGGTTTACACAGTAAGCTCTCCTAATACCAGCTAGAGTTACCAATACCAGAACCTGAGAAACAAGATTTTACTACAAACCACTTCTTCCCTTTTAAGTATAAAACAACTTCCACACAGCGTAAGACAAAAACTGTTTATTGTGTACAAAAGTAAAAGTTGAAGCTGTGAGCTTCAAAAGAAAATCATCTCGTAGCGACCCAGTCAGATCTTACAAAAGTCATTTGCTCCTGGGGTAATTCCCACCTCTTCGTGTTCCATCGCCAAATTCTGTGGCTAACCCATTAGCTCTTCCATATTTTATCCCCTAAACTACTCAACAAGTCTTTGGACATGGAAGAAAAAGTTTAATCCTCTACAGAAACTTTTACTTTTCTGCTTGTCTACTGAACTTGTGCAGTCGTTTGTAAATGGCCAATTCCATGTAAATATTAATCAGCTTGACTAACTGGAGTTATGCACGTACAGTCTACTCCAGGAATCGCTGGCAAGCTGGGAACTTGTGTTACATGAGGATTAGCGTCCTCTATTCCAAGACAGTCTACTATCTTTCCACTCAGTTGCAAGCCTGGATTTTAGATAATACGCTATATCCAATCCTACTTCATGAATTGCTATTGCATCATGAATGCACGATTAACGGCACTCCCAGCATTCTCTGGGAGATTCCCATCAGATTCCCTGCCCTGTGTGAGCACTGCGTGATCAGCCAACGCAGGAGCTGCACACAGCAAGAAAGACACAGCATTACAGGACCGGCACGTACATACAGTCAAGACTATGTGACGATGGCCAGGAAGGTGGTTTAGGGGAAACGGTGCTCTGTCCCCTCATGCTCAAGTAAGCCACCCTTTTATTGTAAAGAAAATGTCACAAAGGTCTCCTCCTTCCACCAGATGGAACCGGGTTCCTCAGTCCTTTGAGCCACATGGAACAACAGCACCGGGGTCTAATGAACGAATGAGTGAGGCAGACAGAAGGTAGCTCTGAGATCTGCGGGGTCTAGAGTCAGAAGTTAGATGAGAATGATCTCACAAGGCAGGAAACGTACTTCGGCAAGACACTGTTTTCAGCAACTGTATCTACACTGAGATTTTAATCCCATGGCCGGGATGGGAGGCAGATACCATTGTCCTCATTTTGCAGAAGAGAATTCTGGGGCTCTCTGTTTGACTTGGGAGCAGGTGGTATAACTGGTGTCAACCGGGCTCTTCCTCACTACCCAGCTTCCTCATGCCAGAGACACCTCCAGGGCACTTATACCACTGTCTTGTGTCTTCTCCAGGATCCAGTCCACGTACTCAGAGACCTTGGTGTAGACTCCTGGGTGATCCCTGCGAGCGCAGCCTTCACCCCAGCTGGTGATGCCCACCAGCTGCCATATCCCATTGTGTTTGCAAACCAAGGGGCCGCCGGAATCTCCCTGGGTCACAGTGGGAGGAGAAAAGCAATGGTAGAGAGTTACCACAGTGATGATTCCACTGAGGAGCCAGCCCCTTGTTCAAAGACAGATGCCGCTAACATCTTCAGACACACTTTGCACACCACATGTGGCTTCTGAATTTCCTGGCATCCCATTAGCCATAAACGGAATAAGTGGATGGTTACAAGGCTAATTTATCCCCTCTCCCATTCTCGGATAAACCCAACAATGTTAGCATCTTTACCAAAGTTCAAATAAACCTACTTTTCTTGTATTTTAGTATAATTATGACACATAAAATAAGGCATGTAGCTGTACTGCTTGTGACATGCCTGCCATAGTCAATACAGATTCTGATGTACCTATTATAAGTAATAAATAATATGAATTATTATGCTTAATTTGTTAAAGGTTATTTATAAAGTCTTCAGGTCATTTAACTCTGAATTCAAAACTATAACTAGAGAAATGTAACGTTGGGAATTTGCTTTTGGTGAGCTGTCTCCGGCGCACTGCCGTGTGTTTTTCACAGTCCGATACACTACCTTACAAGCGTCTGTCCCGCCTTCTTTGTAGCCGGCACAGATCATCTGCTTGGTTATAACATAATTTCTGTATTTTTTCTGGCATTCTTCATTTGGTACCAAAGGAATAGTTGCCTTTTGTAGAGTATTTTGGATTTCACCTATGAAGCAATCAAGGTAGACCTTTAAATGGAGAAAATACAATAAACGGAAAAAATAAGACCAGAGTTTTAAAGGAAATCAAAATGGTTCACTTTCCACTGGGGTCATATTTTGTTAAAAAAAAACTGTCGGTGCTTTTTTTGTCAGGGACACTGTCAAAGAGGTATAATTATACATACAGAAAGGAGAGGGAAGGGTAGAGAGAAAGGGAAAGAAAGAGGAGTAAGGAGAGGAGTGGGGGAAGAGGAAGAAGAGGAGGAGGAGGAAGAAGGAGAGGAGGAGGGACAGGGACAGGGAGACGGACGAGAGAGCCATCTGTATTTCTTTCCTTTCAATGAAGCTTTTCGCAGCCCTATCACCCAAGCTACCACAGACATGGTTTCTATTATCTTTACCTTCCTCCTGTTGTAATAGCCTAAGGTAACCTGTAAGCCCAACAGACCCAAGCACCAGGTAACTTCCTGGGATGCTGGGAGTTGTAGTTCTTAAAAAATATCAACAAAGCCTCATGGAAAAGTATGGTGGCCAAATGGATTTGTCTTTATAAGTCCCAAGAGCACTTGTATTGGGGCCAAACTCAGCCGGGAAATTCCAGGGAGTTGTACTAATCAAAGTCTATCCTGATCAGTACTTAATATTTAAATAAAACTTGCTTCAAATGCGGCTCAAAATGGTGGAACCACTATTTCCCTGGTCAGTATCAAGATTAACACTATCTCAACAGATGCCCCTCAGAAAAAAAAGTTCCTTGTTCATTCATACTTTTAGTATAAATGTCTGGATGTTCTTGCCTTTCATTGTTTTACAAATTCAAATTATAATAAAAATATAAAATTTATGAAAATAAATCCCAAACATTTGACAGCAAAGAAGTATTGTATTCTTTATATAAACAAAGTTCCATAAGAAATGATGCATTTAGAGATATTTCAATTTTTTTCCATGTCTATATTTTTCAAATATACGTGTGTGTGTGTGTGTGTGTGTGTGTGTGTGTGTGTGTGTGTGTATAATCAGGTCAACACGGTGCAAAATGTGAACTAATTGAATATAAGACTAGCTGGTTCAAGAAACATGGAGAATGGAGGAACATAGCGAATCATCTCTTTTTGTAAACATGACACAAACTTGTCTAATAGTGTTTATCTTGCACTTATTCTAGAAAAGAAACATGTTCATTAGTAGGAAAATAGTTCAAGTCTCAACACATAGGAGTTCTTGACCTCAGATCCACACAAACAGTGGATCCATCTATTAACTCAGAGGAAAGGAGAGAGGAAAAACTCACTTCTATTCTGGCTACCTTCCATGTAAAGCTGAACACCCCCTTCAGTTTTAAACGTAGACAATAAATGCGGGAATACGGTACTCTTACCAGCATTGTCGTATAAGGGCACAAATGCTTTGAATTACTTAGCAGTTATTAAAGAAGTGAAAATATCATTTATGCCTGTCATTAATTTCATAATATTTCAACATTATGGCAAATATTAAAACAACTTAGTATGCAGTATATTAATAAAGATATATCCTTATCACTATGTTGAATTCTGTTAATAAATACCAGTAATTGTACTGCATTTATCTAGTACTGCATAGTACTGCATAAATCTAGTTTCCTTCTTTATGAAGCTATGTATTTTGCCTAAATATTGAGCAGTAATTAGAGAAAAGGGTAGATTTATCATATTGCAAGAATGCATGAAAAGAAATATTAAAAACTGTCCTGAGAGAGTGTTGCTGGCTACTTGGTTATTGAAACTAAAGGACAGCGTGGCAAACAGGGATACTGAATACCGAAAATCATACAGACTACGTTGGACCTGATAGCACCATAGGGCCACAGTCCCTTATGCAGAGTCACCAACATTATCTCTATTATGAGTAAGATGTTTAGGAAATGAGCTCATCAGTTTTTAATGAAACATGTTCTTGTGAATCAGAGAACCAATACATTGGGATAAACACAAAGATCAAGAGGAAGGATGGTTGAGGAGCGAATCTACTCCATGTGCTTTAACATTTAGGACAGGAACATTTCAAATGTCACACTGTACCTCCTTCCTTTGTGTAGCCCCATCCAGTCACCCAGCAGTTGGTATAAATTGTATTTGTGTCATCTTTGGAAGGCAGGCATATTGGTTTTTGGAATTCTGGAAGGAAATTTCATGAATAGATTAGAAGTAATTAAAGCCATAGATATTGACTTTAAAAAATTAATCTCTCTCTCTTTTCCCTTATTCATTTTCTACAAGGCAACACAGCAAGAATAAGCCTTCTGGGACCAATTGGGATGAAGAGTGAGAAAGGGCAAGAGAGGGTGAAGGGAGGTAAATGCAATCAAAATACATGGCTACGCATGAAACGTAAGGGAACTCATTACTGAAACTAAAGAGAAACGAGAATAGCCTCCAGCTTTCTGATCAACTTCTAAAGCCCACGGTCCAAGGAAATTCTCACATTTTTGTTTGGTTTTCTGGCATGAAACTTCTCAGGGGGAGGGGAGCTCCTCCACCAAAATTTCTTGACAAACATATCTACATTCTTGTGTTTTGTTTAATATATACTCTGGCAGAATTCAGAGTCAGAGTAAAAATAGCCATGCTGTTCCGGTGATTTAATTGAATACCTTACTTAATTATTACAGCAAAGCAACGAGGAGACCAGCACACCTATAGCAGATATTAGCATTGGAAGGAGGAGAGGCAACCTGTCTGAGGTTACAGAGTTGATGCTCACAGTTAAGGTGCTGGTAGGCGTTTAGTTTCTGTGGAGTGGTGTGCCTTCAAGGCAACGACATGCTCCACTTCCCCCATTGTCTACCCAGTGTTTTCTTAAAAATTAATTAGCTTAGAGATATAGTTGTCTATCCTAAGTCCAAGCAATGGTAATTCTGCCAATCCTGTCAAAAGATGTCCAGTATCCCCAGGTAGCAAGAACTTTCCTATACCTGTCTCATTAGCATACATGCAGCTCCATACCACGCTGAGAAAGTTATTAAGATTGCTTGCTGGTTAAGAAGCAGTGATTGCATGGTAAATCTCAGGATCTTCACTTTTCAGGCTGCCTAGGCTCTCCCTCAACCCCACCAAAAAGAAAACAATGGCAGCAGATCTGTTTGCTCACTCAAACTGAAGCGAGAATTGGCACTGACACAATCCAGTTGTGCAGTTTTCCCTTAGATGTGCTGCATACCAGTAAAATTCAAGGGCGTCCGGAGCTTTATTAGGGCGATATCATAGTTGCCTTCTCCGACCTTGTAGTTCTGATGAATAATAAGTTCTTTTATTTTCGAGAACGACGTCTCTTTTGTAATCTCTGACAGGTAAAGAATCCCACCGTAGATACGCCACACATCTGGGTACGGAATCCTGGGAGAGAGACATGCAAACCAAAGTAATGTTGGCATTGTTCCTTGTTCACTTTTCTTAGCACTTTTTCTTGTGGGGAACAAAAAGAAGAACATATTCCCTACTACCTAGTTCTTCCTCTGCCAATTGATCATCACCTAGAATTGGATCTCTGAAGATTTAGTTTAGAATAAAACTTCTTTAACTTTTATTTAAGACCACCTTTTGATTGAAAAGGGTTGTGTGTGTGTGTGTGTGTGTGTGCATGCGTTTGTGTGTATGTGTGAGTGACTATATGAAACGGGTATACATATTAAACATTTACTGATTGTATATCATAAAGAAATTTCTTCAAAAACAGTTCTTTGCTGTACATATAGTTTTACCACTTATTAATGATGAAAGCAAATTCACATATTAATGGTACAAATGTGCTCTATTATAAATAATTAAAACATGTCTGAATATTTCCTACTAAAAGGCAGGGAATATCTTCAATAACTTTAAGAGTTCCTCAATATTTTGATTTTGTAATCAACAATACTGAGAATGTCATTTCATACCAAATGGTAGATGTAGGTTTAGGACCATTAAAAAAAAATTGGAAATTCTACCCAATACCCAAGCCAAAGTTCATTCGATGAGGTTTTTTTTTTTTTTTTAAAAAAAATAAGACCCAAGTAATCAGTTCAAACAACAATATTTAAAACTAAAGTCTAAGACTATACAATCCAAAGCACACCATGAAAAGAAACATTTTTAAATTTGTGCTTTTTTGTAATTAAACTGTTATGTTTCTGTAAGAGCAGAAAGCCCTGTGCACACGGTACACACACCGTGATTCACAACATCGAATAATCTTCAGTCCGAGTTGTGTTTCGGGTACCATCTGTTGGTACTGCGCGGCATGACAGCAAGCGTAGTGCATGCATAGTGCGAGATAAGCACGCTGCATTTGAACAAGAAAGACTGCAGTGGAGTCCCGTGACACAGCATGGCCTAGGACTTCCAGAAAGCCTTGGGTTTGTCACGTGTTTGATTTGAATTATTTTTGGTCAGTGAACATTCAGGGGCCTTTTAGTGTTGCTAGAATTTCTGAGAGCCCCATATTCTGTTGCACTGGGTCCATAATAGGGTTACAGCTCACAGTACTAGAAGTTGTGGCTGAAGATAGTCAATATATATAGTTTTTGTAATTACTTCATGTTTATTACAAATAAAAATATGGGACTGCTTCTGTCACTTTCCAAGAAGCTGTGGGCAAATCAAGTTCAGTTTACCAATCCTGAAAGCAATTGCTTTCATTACATCTGTTATCAAGTAGCCGTACCAATTAAAATAAGCCAAGCAGGAGACAGAATTAAAGACACTTTGTTGCTTAAAACCTACCTACCCATTGTCTGAATTTTAAATTAACCATGTAAAAGATATACAAACTAAATTTAAAATAATAATAATTTTTAGGCAAAGACTTGGAAACTTTTATCTTCATCAAAACAAATATGTCAGATCCAAGGAGATGGCTTGGTGGCCAAAGGGCTCGCTTCACAAGTATGAGGACCCAAGTTCAGATTCCAACATGCCAGGAGACAGAGCAGGCAGATCCCTGTCCAGTCAGTCTGCTCAAAGGGGTTCAGTGAGGAAATCCCGTCTCAACAAGTAAGATGGACAGCTGTGCCAGTCTTTTCCTTTTGGGCCACCAGCTTCCAAATCATGACACAGAGGCTTATTATTAGTTATAAATACTTTGCCTAGCTTAAACATGTTTCCGGCTAGTTCTTTTAACTTAAATTAAGCTGTTTCTCTTTATCTACCTTTGGCGTCAGGGCCGATTACCTTTCTCACTTCTACATATCTTACTTTCACTGCTTCTCTATGCCTGCCTGGCTTTTGGTCCTGGGTGTGACCCTGATTCTCTCTTCCTTCTTCCCTTTGGGTCTAGATTTCTCCTCTTATTTATTCTCTCTGCATGCCAGCCCTGCCTTTCTTTTCTCCTGCGTGGCTATTGGCTGTTCAGCTTTTTATTAGACCAATCGGGTTCCTTGGGCAGGCAAGGTATAACAAACATAACATACCTTTTCGTAATTAAATAAATACAGCATAAACCAAAGCAACACACTTTTACACAGTAAAGTAATATTCTGCAGCATAAACAAATGTAGTTCATCTTTGCCTTGTTAAAATAATATTCCAAAAACAGACAACAATATAGGAAAGACACCTGACATTGACCTTTACGTGAGCATACGCACGTAAACATGTACACATGCACACACACACACACACACACACACACACACACACACATACACACACACACACGATGGATCTGAAACTTACCCATCAAAGCAATGGGCAGCCGTTATGATCCATTGGTGTCCAATGATGGTCCCTCCACACAGATGGTTCTGAGACACCACTTTCACCTGCAGGCTGACCTGCCATGGCCACTCCCCTAAAGAGGAGTTTGTTCCTCCCACAATTCGTGCATTTACTTTCGTTGTGCAAACTAAAAAGCATTGAGATACGTGGTCAGAATTCGACACAAATCAGCATCCCCTCCATCCAAGGAAACAATATAAATAACCCAAATCACACGAGACCAAGCCATCAGCCACCACAACCCAGACTTCCATACAGTTTCTTAACAAATGATCTTCACTCACTAGAATTGTCCACAGCTTTACACAATCTCAAAGAATATCCAGAGCTCCTCTGTGCCCTGCTGGTGATCCTAGTTGGAGAGCCATCCACAGATAACCTTAAGGAACATTTACACCTAGACAAAATGAACAGAATAAAATCAGACCCACAGATAAAACTATAAAATAATTACCTTGCTGGTGATCAAAGAAACGGCCCCTCACCCCTCCGCGTTGCAGTCTTGTGGACCTGACGAGTAGGTGAAGAACTGGCAGCGAATCGTCTTTGTACAAGTCTCTTGACATACATCTGCTTTTTGTACGAAGGTCACATTCAGCTCTTCTCCTCCAAAGTCAACTCCAGAGTAGATTTTGAAATGGCAGGGTTCTGCATCATGGAAAAACATCCAAGGATATATAAGGAGACAGGAAATAAGCCATAGTATGAATGTTCCTAGTGTCTTGAGAATAGTTTCATCAACTTTTAAAAGACCCCAAGATCTGTTGCACCCCATGGCAATTAGTGTTTGTCAACTTGACACAAAATAGAGTCACCAAAAAAGAGGGATCAGCAACTCAAGAACTGTCTCCATCAGATTCACTTGCGGGTATGTCTGTGGGACATTTTTTTTGAATTAAGAATTGAAGGAGGAGGACCCACTGGGGGGCAGTGCCACCTCTAGGCAGGTGGTCCTGAACTGTATTAAAATAACAACAAAAGGTAGCTGAGCCCATCATAGGAGCAAGTCAAAAAGTAGCATTTCTCCACGATCTCTACTTCAGGCACTGTGTCTGTTTCTGCAACACATTGCTTTTGGTCATGGTGTTTATGGCGGCAACCAAGAGGTAAACTAAGACAATCATCATATACCATCACTGCCAGTCATTACCAGGGCGAGCTTTTCTGCAGGTGAAGAGACTGAATCCAGACATAGCGTTTTCTTGAGGAACAGAGGGACTTGGGGAACCACTTTTAGACATCTTAAGAAAGCAAACATTCCTATTTAAAAACAAGCGAGAAAGAGAAAGAAGAATTAGAGGCGTCAGACAGATTACAGGAACGCAGCTCCCATTTCTTTTTATTAAAACGCAACTCCGAAGATTGTGTTCCGAGAAACTCTCTTCGGTCAATCAGGTGGCAAGACTCCAAAATACAACAGGAATTAAATGTAAATGGAGTCACTTCTCCCACTGGCAAAAACCAGAAGGCACAGAGAAACAGAAAAGAGGTGAGAGGGTAAAATTTCACCTTCTAATTAGAAAAAGAAGGAAAAGGCTCCAGAGAACAAACTGTTCGGAGTTAAGCTCCCCGCGGTATTGTATCCACACACATCCTTCTGCGGGCCCCATGTTGTACAGAAAGGAAATGGGAAGTTGCCGAAAAATGAAGAGGTCAGACTAGAGCCTAGATCAAGATAAGCAGGGCTCTGATTTCTCACGAGATTAAAGGGTAGGCGGAAGGAGCAGCTCTTAACGCAAACCAATCTAAAACCTTAATGCTAGTGAGAAAGCTGTCTGATCCCTTTGCGAGTCCGCTGTTGTTTAACTCAATGGTATGTTTGCTTTACGGAGGGGAAGGTATGTAGATGGATCTGCTAATCTCTGAAGCAACATGCACCTGGCAGAAAAGCAACCACTTAAACTTACAGGCTCTACCGCTGTCAGGGAAACCAGCAAGGCACCTGCGAGTCTCCACTAGGGACTAGAAAGGCTAGGAATCGGCACACCCGCTTACACTCACCTCTCGGATTCTATCTTCCTTTCGTTCGTATAGAATGTAAAGAAAAGGCATGTGGGGTGGAAGGTGCAGATGGTGCGACACACGAGAACATCGGGGGTGATGACCCGGCCCACATCGAGGTCTGCAAAGGCAAAGCGCTGGAACATGTTCATGGGGCAACCTGTGAATTCACCGAAGAAGAGCGTTCCTCAGTGACACAAGACCGAATTTGCTTGTGTTTCTGCACAGTAACCAGGGCAATGACAACGGAATATTCGCAGCGCTAAGCATCTTGAGTTTAAAATCTCCTACTGAGAGACCCAGGCGCATGCACCTGGCCTGCATAGGTCTGCACCAGGTCCTCTGCATATACAGTAACGCTTCCAGTTTACAGTTTTTTAAGGGGATTCCCGAATATACAAACGTGTGACTCTCTGAATTTTATGCCATTAATGTGGAAAGATTCTCTCAATTAAAATTGCAAATAGTATTGAATCACTAAGGGTGGGGGGCAGGTGTGGTTACCTCCAATGCTTTCGAAATCCATGAAGGAAACTGCTGAGAACTAGTCTTTAATTACAATTCATTTGGAGTCGTTAGGTAAGAGGCTGAACAGTTCAAAGGGAGGACAGGATATCTGTGTGACTCTAAGTGTCAGGACTGCTGTGTGACCTTAGTATATGGTTTTATCCCAGGAACTACCATTTTTCATCCCTAAAGCTAAAGGTGTGCCTGATACGATTAAGGACGAGGGTGTGGTAACGACTAAAAGCCATCCCTGCCTTATGAATTTAATTTAGGCCTGTAGGCCCAGAAACAGCCTTCCTGTGGCTTCGGTTGGCATGCAAGGAATGTGAAAAGACCTGCCTCTTAAAAAAAAAAAATCATGGTCATCTTCTGAAGCGTGCAGGATTGTTATCACTCAGTGAAGGGACGTTCAATCAGACTGAAGAGATGTAAGACCTCATTGCAGTTCCAAAAAGTCAAGTACGGGGCAGCCTGAGACTGGGCATGCGCAGTACTCTTGGAGGCTGTGGGCCGCACCTGGGATGGGCTTGAGGCGGGCCCAAAGAATCTTGTCAGTTCTTCTCTACGCATAAAAATGTGCTGCTAAGGCTGCAGTGGGGTGTTGTTTGTTCTCCAGCGTGGCAGTGTTGGGAGGTCTGACCTAGTGGGAAGTCGGGGAAGGCATAGCCCATGTGAATTGACTAGTGCTTCTTGCGTGAGTTCCTGCTCTCGCTGATCTACATCAGTTATGCCAAGCGCAGGTTGTTTGAAGCCACGGCTTCCTTTTGTCCTCTGTATCTTCCACACACACTCACTTGGCCTGCGTTTTTCTACCGTGCTGTCGTGCAGCCTAAGGTCCTATGATGATGAAAATTATATCCAGAGGATAAATTGACTGTGCTAGGCTTGTAAAACCAAAATTGTTTTTCGCTTGTTCAATCCAAGTGACTCCTACCTTGAACGTACCCTGTCAGCTGGCCTGAGATGGACCACTTCCTGGAGCAATTGGGCTATTCTAAAGCAATTTCTGATTGTTACAAACTCTTTCACTATCTCAGCTATTCCGACAAGGTAATGGGTCACAAGATTTAACAGGCTAACTGCTGTGTTCTGCTTTTGTCTGAAAGGCTTGCTGGCTTGGATGGCTGACGCACCTGCTGGATGTCTATTACAAAATCAAGCCTTGCCTGCACCCAGACAAGATATGTGTTAATTTGGTTTTCCAAAATTATTACTCTGTGGCTTTTGCCTTTAAAATTCCTTGTCTAACAATAGCCAGGCCTTACCTAGAGAACTATTTCTGGTTTGATCCTGGCTAGTCCTTTTAATAAAAAAAAAGTCTCTATTTTACTAAAACCAAAACTTGAGTCAGACTGGCGATGAATCTCTGAATGCCCCCAGACTCACAAGAGTCTTTGTCAGATACAACCATCCCATCTTTAGATTCCTGGCCTGCAGAATCATGAGCCAGAAGAGCCTTTTTATCTTTAAATATTTCCCAGTAATCTGGCATTCAGGTACAGTTGCAGATAAGCAGTCTAAGATAAATATGTTATTCAGAACTGAACACATTTGAATAAACAGCACTATTTCTTCCAGTCAAGTTTTCAAAAACTAGAAAAAAAATGGATATTAAAACTAAATAACTAACACATTGGAGCCAATTGAATGGCACAGCATGGAGAGGATACGTTGAGAAAAGAAAAGACAAATAAGAAAAGAGGTTGTTTTGGACTTCTCTGTCTTTCATAGAGAGCTCATATTTCAGAACTCAGACCAATACAGGACATAGCATAGAGCAAGCATTCAGTATTTGTCACTATTTACTCTCAGTGATCTGATTTCAGTAAATCTCACCACTGGTACCTTGATGTACTAAATATGATGGCACTTGTCTGGATAATTCAACTGAAGCTACCTCTGTGTCTGATATTATAGGGCTTTGCTGATTCACGGCAATATGCTTTTCTAGCCAGACCTGGACACTGTCGAATGACCTCGTGACTTTTTGTGTAGTGTCAGTGTACTTTCCTAAAGCTATGATTGCAAGACTATTACAGTAAAACTAGAGGTTTAAGCAACACAAATTCATTCTCTTTCAGTCCTAGTGATCAGAAGGCCAAAGTACATCTTACTGGATGCCAGTCAAAAGGTTGGCTTGGCTCTGTTCCTTTGGAAGGGCATGTAGGGAGACCTGTTCCATGTTCTTTTCTTTTCTGCAGGTCATAGCATCCCTTCGCTTTAGGACTCTTCCAGCTTTAAAGGCAGAAACAACCCTTTCAAGACTCTCCATCTCTGACTTGGACTCCTCTGCTTCCCTCTTCACCATATAAGAACCCTTGAGCCTGGATAAGGCTCATTCTGGTGACCCAGAGTAATTCTATTTCAAAGTTTTTCCATATAATCACATCTACACAAACCCTTTGGTTTATATGCATCGTATTCCCAGGTCCCTGGGCGTGGCACATGGATATATCTGGGCCCTCTCACTTAGCGTATGACAATCACAGAGGAACAGTCAACATCTAATTACCGATCTCTGAAAGGGCACAGGCCTTCAGTGAGAATCCGGATATCAGGTTATCCAGCGTCTTTATACTGGTGGGCGTTCCACTTGCGCTGAGCTTCAGCAAGCAGTTGTTCCTGAAAGTCAGCAAAAGATGCCACGCTTCTTAAGGTGTGCAAAATTGTGTGGGTAACATTTGCTATTGAAATGATAACCAGAGTGGTACATGGGTGGGATTAACCAACAGACACTCTTCCCTTCAGCAAAGGGCTGTTTAGGGTGCAAGTTGGGTGGCAGACATCATCGTCAGACACTACACTTCATTCCGTACACAGCCTAAAGGTAGACCAGATGGAGTTTACTATCTTTGGAAATGCCATTGGAATTAACTATATAAATAAGGGCAATGCTCAGGACTACACTCTTTAGTTGAACTAAAGAGCACTCTTTGCTCTTTAGTTGAAGGAGAAACAGTCTTTTTTTTTTTCATGGAAGTACTGAATCCTGAAGTGTTTTCATGGGACCCATTCAGCCACACTCACCGGTACTCTGGTCTATGAAATGCATTTGTAGCATATGTGAAAAATTGGCAGAGAATATTGTTTGTGCACAGTTTCTGGCAGTCTTCAACACTGTTGGCCTTGGATATATTAAAGTTGGACCCTCTCATATCAAGTCCTTCATATAGGTCTTGGTGGCAAGCTGAAATGAAACACATAGAGACATTTGGCCAAATTTCTTATTGCATATCTAAATTATCAAGCCCTGCTAGACATTAGCACACTCCAGTGTGTTTACCTGACCTCTATCGCACCACCATTCAAAGTGGGTTATTTTGCTTTCTAACCTGCAAGGTATATGCAACAGGGCAGTTTCACACTGAAGTTACCAGCGGCAATGATAAAGAAAGAAACAAGGCAATAATAACAAGGTCCTGATAGCTGGTGCCAGAGATTCGAAGGATTTGACCAACTGGTGTACCTTTGACTTCTGGATCAAAACAAAACAAAACAAAAACAAAAACAAAAAAACCCAAAACAAACAATAACAACAAAACCATGATCTATATCTATTTCCTTTCTTCCCCTACTCTGGTCTGATTGTGATTTGTGACTACAGGTCTCACCGTTGACATCTGTGTTAAATCTTACAGAGGGTGGGAATTTATTTATATGCATGACAAAACCATTTTCCTTCTTGATTTATAATTTTCTTAAATTCTACCACTATCACCACCACCGCCTTTCCCCTACCCCATCTTGCTTTGTAGACCTGGATGATTTGGGACTCCTGTGGCTACCAGAGGAAGTCCTGAGTCAACGTGTAAGGAGCTGATGAAGTCTATTGACATGGGCGCAGCCATGTGCAGGACCAATGCCTCAGACTCATGGAAAACTGACAAAGCCTTCCCTGGGTCTAAGCACCGGTGTTCAGGGAAACTGACCTGTGTGTGCAAAGACCAGCAGCTTCACCATCCTCCACGAGGACGTTGACAGCCCAAGAGGGAGACTGCCTGCCATTGGAGACCTCCCTCTGAGACTAGTGAGCCCCACCCCTGGGCTGTACACAGTAGTCACTATGGGGCTTAGGGGTTCAATACATACAAAGCATGGCACTCCCTCCTTTCTGCATGTTGGCCCATTGTCTGTCCTTTCTTTTTTTTTTAAAGTAAATTTTATTAAATTATAAAAGTTTCCATTTCCGCCCCTCTTCCCAACACCCTCCCACTCCCCCCACTCCCTCTCCTCCTCCCTCTTCGTCCCTTAGGGCAGTCAGGGTTTCCTGCCCTGTGGGAAGTTCAAGTTCCTCCCCCCTCCCTCCAGGTCCAGGAAGGTGAGTATCCAAACAGACTGGATCCCCAAAATCCAGTATATGCAGAGGAAACAAGTCCCAGTATCATAGTCAATGGCTTTTCAGAAAGACTTCGGGCCAGCCACATTGTTCTCTGGACAGAGGAGAGGGTGCCTGAACCGGCCGTGGCCCATAACCATACTGATGTATATTTTGCTTATCACCATAGATCCTTCATCTGGCGAAGGACGGCGATACAGACGGAGACCCACATTGGAGCACCGGACTGAGCCCCCCAAGGTCCAAATGAGGAGCAGAAGGAGGAAGAACATGAAAAAGGAAATAAGGACTGTGAGGGATGCTATCACCCACTGATACAAGGGAACAGATCTAATGAGAGTTTACCAAGTCCAGTTGGACTGGGACTGAACGAGTACGTGATCTAACCAGATTCTCGGAATTTGGCCGGACTCTCTGTCTGTTCTTTCTTATTCCCCTGATACCCCTAGTCAGTTTTCTGGAATGCAAGCCATGCCGGTGTGGCTAACTTCCATTTTAGACAAGATGAACTTGAAATAATGGCTTTGAACTTGAAATGATCTTTGCCTCTGCATTCCTAGTGCTGGGATTCTAGCCATGGGCTAGCACACCAGGTTTAAAAATGTTCTTCAACTCCATTTAAACACCTCTTTCATTGAAGTTTCAAAGGAACTTTAGCCAGCCCAACCTGTCCTTTCAAATTTATCTCATATGTCAAAAATATAGTTAATTCTTTTAACAGAAAGAAAGCCAAATTAGGCTCTTGTGGGTTTTGTTTTTTAAGACAACTTAATTAGATTAGCTATGTGTGTATGTGTTAGCACAAAAATATTCTATTGTACATAGCTGTAAGTTTCTAAGAATCATAAAATTAATTTATACATGGAGACTATGTATACACCAACTAATAGAGAAGTATTATGTTAGTGTGTAGGGGTGCTGAACATTCCTGGCAGTTGATACAGGGCAGGAATCTATAAATCAGAGAATGAGGTTCCTTTAAATTTGCTTCAGTCAAGACAGGAAATGAAGCAGTCAAAAATAAAAACATTTTCTTAATGATTATCTGTAAGTTTTAAGCCTGCCTCTAATAGTCTTGACTAAAATTGCTTTCTGACGCCATGTTTTAAACCTTTTTTCCCCTGAGACATGGTCTCTTGGTGTAGCCCTGGCTGTTCTGGAACTCGATCTGTGGACCAGACTGGTCTTGAACTCACAGAAATCTGCCTGCCTCTGCCTCTGGAGCAGTCTGCACCTCAACTGGCATGGGACCATTTTTTAACTTGACGGTATTTGGGAGAAAGTAAGAAAGGAACTTTAGAGTCAAACTCAGTGAGGAAGATTAAGTTGGGGGAAAAGATGGCAACTAAGCACCTATGGAAAAGACACAATATTTCTATATTTTAAAATATGTGTTATCAGTCACAATCATAATATATAAGATTTAATCAAATAATGTACATTATAGTAGTATATGGATTTGGTCATATACCATACAAAAAATATCTTGCTTCAGGTTAACTGTAGCTATCACACTGGTGGGGTACTATTTATATATAAGCCATTGTCACCCTTCATTAATTACCTAAAATTCAAATTGCAAACCAAGACTGTATGTTATTGGGGTAAAAAAATGAGGACTCTGGAAATTTGAACCTACAGAGTGAACTATGAAAAGACAAAACAGCATAGTCCAGAATGTTTCTTAAGATTCTTCCGACACCAGCTCACTCTTTGTAACACGCTCACTTTCCCGTCAGTCCCTGTGGTGTTAGAGAAATGTCTTCTTCTTTGTAGGAAGCCTTTAAGATGGTGTAGAAGCTGCTTCCTATCAGTTGCAACGGATATCAGAAATAAAGCTCTCTAACATCCTAGCCTTCACATTCCTTGTAAGAAATATTATGCTAAGCATGATTGACAGAACTCAATCCTTAAGCCTGGGCCGAATGGCAAACAATACGATTTCTTAAATCAGCTGTCTTCAACGTGTGGGTCACAGTTCCTTTCAGGGCCAAATGACCCTTTCATAGGAGTAGCCAAAGACATTGGAAGACACAGATACACATTCATAACTGTAGCAAAGTTACCATTATGAAGTAGCAACAAAAATAATTTTATTGTTGGGAGGTCATCACAATGTGAGGAACTATATGGAATGTTCACAGCAGCTGGACAGTTGAGAATTACTGTCTTAGACCCTTATCAGTGACCTAGTGGTGGCCAGAAAGTTCTAACTTGTGACTTACTGCTCTGTGCCTGGAAGAATGTGTTGCACCAACTCAGGCCATTACCATAGAGAGTACCAACTTCTACACTTGTAAGGATCTAAAATGTCTCTAGACTTTGACAAATATTTTTTTGAGGTGAAAAGGGCAAAATCAGTTCTGGTGGGAGCCGCAAATTTCCCCCAAAGTGAACCTTGGGATGGTCCGTCCCTTGAGTCTTATCTGAAAAGTCTTTTCTGGAAACAGGGAAGTTCTGCTGTTTGAAGGGCGCATTCCTTTGTCCAAATCTTACATTGTGTGTGAGCACCGTAGATAACAGAGGCCCATCAAAGCTGTGCATTATAACTAATAAAGACAAGAACATTATCTAGATGTATACAACCCCTCCTTATGACCAAGATGCTGCTTCATCTTCATTATGTTTCTTGGTCTTCTCTTTCAGAAGTCCAGGATAGTAAAGTCTATGAGCAAAAGCTACTCTGAGTAAGAGTGTTAGTAACTCAAATTTTGTTGGAAGAATTCACCTCTTACCGCTTATTTGATGGCCACACTGCTTTAAAGAATAACCGGAAATGGCACCTGCCCGATGCAATCTTGGCAAAGTTCCTGTAATGCTGTCTTTCATGAAACAACCAAACCTTGTTTAAAAAAAAAAAAAGATTCATTATTTTAAAGGAAAATGTAATGACAAACACACATTAAGACATTATCCAGCATTTTCAATGTGCTAACAAATAAAGCCTGGGGTCAGGAAACAGACAGCATTTCCTCGATTCTCGCTGAAAAGACATGCTTAAGACAATTCCACTCTATCTACAGTGTGGGTTTTCTTTGTGTCCATGCCTTATGTCAGAGAGCCAGCCATCTTCAAGAGTTGATGGTTATGCCTACATTTGAGCTTCCACAGATCCTCTTCCCAAAAGATAATGGCTTTTGTTTCTGTTTTATGTTTTATGTAGTACTGAAGAAGAAACCCCGGGTTTTAAGCATGCTGATCAAGTGTTCTCCCACCAGACAGTTCTTCCCTCCCATTCCACCCCACGGCTTTTATTTAGTTTATTTTGAAGCAAACTGATCTTAAATTTATGATTCTCCTATCTGAAACTTCTACATCTTCTAAAGTAGTGATTATTTTTAGAAGTATTTTAATTTACTTTAAAAAATCAAATCGCCCACGAGCTGGGGCTCTGTGTGATATTCACCTTGTTTATTGATTCCTGGTAGTTTCCCTCTAGTGGGGGGATTTTTCTATCTTCAATATCAACTTTGTATTAAGTTTACTATTTATAAGAATCCTAGCGCCTAGTTCAATTTTCAATTCAGCGAATGTCACATATAGTTTGTGATTTTCTTCAGGTTAGCACGTACGGATTAGAGAATGAGTGTCAGATTTCTAATTCTTAAAATCAGATAGAGTGAGAAGGAAAGTTATGGGTATGGAAACAGAAGCAGAAATTTACACTTTGGCTGTTGATAAAATGAAAGAAAATAAGGGGAAATTTTCAATTATGTTTTTAATACTTGCATTTGTCAAAATTGCCAGTTAATAGTAATACACACACACACACACACACACACACACACACAAATGTACATTCTAAATGTGCAAACAGGGTCACTTTAGGTACCACTGAGATGTGCCTACTAAGTCTTAAGTCTATTATCAACAAAATTCCTGGCTTATATGTTCTCAACTTTGTTACTCAAAAGTATAATAAGTCAAGTAAATATATTTCTTTATGCAGGAGAAATTTTCACCTTTTACTGGACAAGTAACATATAAGTGAATAAAATACATTTTTGAAAGCAAAAGAATAAAGTCCACTATGAAGTTCTATGGCTTCCCTTTCAAATGGCTGCTATAACTGGATAGAAGTTCACTGAATTGTACAGTCTCTGGTCTGGTTAATGGGTGTGTGATTGTTTTATTTGTGGCCTTTATAATACATTTTAGTTAATGTATAATAAATAATAAATAAGAAGAAAATATATACTGAAATACTGTGCAATGCTGAAGAAAAATGAGAAAATGAATGGACCTTGAATATCTAATATTAAGTGGAATCACATGATCTCAGAAAAAACCACACATGTTGTTCCTCATATGCAGAACCTAACCAATAACATATTTATATACATGAACAAATGTACACGTGGGAACATGTTGAAAGGTGAACCAGAAAGGCTAAATATTATGGTATGAGGACGGACCCTTTCTTGCTACATGCTCTTTCTTCCAGGCCCTGGCTAGAGCATCACTGCCTCCCTCTGCTGCAAACAAGAGCTGTGGTTGTCGTGGTACTCTGTGTCCGTGGTCAGTAGTCCAGTCGTCTGCTCTGCAAAGAAAAAGTCTAGGAACCTTTGATGAAAATGGTTTTTGATCTCTTCGAGGAACCTGACACCAATCTGACACCAATCTTGCAAACAACTGGAAGTAGCTTGAGAAGTGTCTAACCTTTTATTGGGATCGTTCGTTGGGGCGACCGAGAGGAAGCTGAAGAGCAGGCACCTGGGGTGGAAGGTGCACATCTTCTGGCAGTACTGGGCATCTGGGGTGTAGATGGCAGCTATATCCCCGCCTCGGAAGAAGCTGTTTTTGTACAGTTGATTCAGACATCCTGGGATACAACCATTAAAAGGAGATTTGGAGAAAAGGGTTACAGTTTCCATCTGTTTTGTTATTTTTTATCCACCCCAATGACTGCCCAAAGAGCCTTACAAATACAGAGCTGGAATGAAACACTATGCCAAGGACTTTAACAGCCCAGCTATTTAAAGTCATCTTATGGAAACTTAGTGTGGAAAATTTGATTCGGTTTTATTACCTACATAATAATTTGTACATAAACTATCCCTGCTAAAATAAAGTGTGGATTATTTTCTGCCTGCTGTATAACATGGTGTGAAAACATCTCACCTTAAGAACTGATAGACAATGTTTTTAAAAAACCCTTTAGGGACCAACATCGTTCTAGATTCCTCAACACTTTTAGGGGAGGTGAGATCAGGACCATTATCTGCATTTTTTTTTTCATGAAAGAAGTCAATAACTGAATCTCAGAGTTCAGACTTGATTACTATCGCACAGTGAATAAGTATCCTGGGACATACATTCATTCTAACTCTCAGTCCTTTGAGACAGCGTGTGTTGCTGTCTGCCTCGGTCTTATCCAAGCAAGCTAATTATTGAGTATTGATCCCCTACCAGTTTATTTTTTTTGGATAAGGAAAATGCATTTGCAGAGACCTACACCCAGACATTATATATACAAAGAGAGAGTCATTGGAACACACCATTCTGAATGGGAAGTCTCCATTAAACCCCTCCCCTCAGAGTTTAGGGAATCACACAGAAGAGGAGGCAGAGTGTAAGAGTCAGAGAGGATGGAGAACACCACACCGGGCTTTTTGAATCAACTGAGCAAGGTGCTGATGAATTCACAGAGATTGACGCAGCAAGCAGAGGGCCTACATGGGTCTACTCCAACCCTCTACATTCATATTATAGCTTTCAGTTTAGTATTTTTGTGTATGAACAAGTGGATCTCTGATTCTTGTGCCTTCTCTTAGGGTTCTTTTCCTTCTGTTGGTTTGCCTTGTCCAACTTCGATGTGGCGGTTTTTGTTTTATCTTATTACAGGGTATTTTGTCATGTTTGGCTGTCATCTCTTAGAAACCCGCTATTTTCTACTGAGAGGCAGAAGAGGGGTGCATCTGGAGAAAATGGGAGGTGGGAAGAAACTGGGAGGAGGAGAGGGAAGGGAAACCATAATCAGGATATATTGTACGAGAGAAGAATCTATTTTCAATAGAAGGGAAGAAAAGTCTAAATAAATAATTTTCAAATAAAAAAGAAACATGGAAGAGCACGTGGGAGCTAACTGGAAAGCAGACCGAAATTTGCAGCTCGTTATCACCCACGGCTCTGTTATGTGTGGTGCTCGGCATCCTACACATCATTAGAACATTGTCCTCAATTCATTTAATCATGAATTTGTGCTTACCTGAAAAATCAGCCCAAATCTTGTACTGAGTTTTCCACCTTAGGTAGCCTGTCCGTTTTCATCAGTCAGGTTTCCCTAACTACACAGTATCCCAGTGACAACCTGGTCCATCTCTCTCTAACATCTCTCTATGTGGCCATTACTTTTTGAAGAATAGGTGTCTAGACAACATGTATTTTATTAAGTACTGTAGATTTAAGATCTTTAATGTTCTCTCTGTCTGGAGATCCTGATGCTAAGTCCCATTTCAATGAGTCAAACTAGCAGTATTGCTTCTCTTCTTATCAGAGAGATGTTGCCATGCCTACCTCTTGGGTCAGGTTTATATTTGGAAAGAGCAGATTTTCCTAGGTAGATGCTCTTGGGAATATGTGTTCCCGAGTGGACACCCTGAAGTGTCCCATTTGCACAACACAATAGTAGGCCCAGTGGTAATGGTAGCTATAAAGAGACTTGTTTTTCATGTGGTTAGCATTTCATAATTATTGAGCGGACACTCTTCGTCATCCATTGCATAGACGCATACAAAAACACAATCTGCCACCAGCGATGGCCTGGAAGTTCCTGTCTTGCAGTTGAGTCTTGGTAGACTGGCATGTGACTCAGCCAATGAAGAAGAAGGACTGGAAATGTTCCAGTTGTAGAATTGCTTATCCTCCTCAGTTGTTAATGGCAACGATGATGATGATGGTGGCGATGATGACCACGATAGTGTTTTTATTACAGAGTCTACATAACTTAAGTGATCTAGAATAATCACATCTTTCAGTTTTCACGTTGAAATATCTTTCATATTTCATGTTTCTCGGACATTGAGCATGCTAGTTGGTCCTTTTAAAAATGTACATGTTCAAAACAAAGAAAATGAAAAATATCATTGATTAGGGAAGAAAAGCATCTTAACTTTAAAAATTCTGGGTGAGTGGTAGAGAGAAACCTCAGGAGTCAGTGCTTGCACCCAAGCCTAATAACCTGGGTCTGATCCCCAGAACCCACAGGGTGAAAGGAGTGAAGCAGCTTCCACAAGTTGTCCTCTTATCTCCACGGTGTGTGTGTGTGTGTGTGTGTGTGTGTGTGTGTGTGTGTATGTGTATGCACGCATGTGTGCGCACATGCATATGTAGACATAGATCCAAGATAAATGAATGCTAAACCATTTTTATAACAAATGGCAGATATGAAAAGACGATTTACCAAAGGAATATAAGTGACTATAAGTGTATGAAAACCACTGACAATGCATTAATCACCTTCCCTAGATAAGTGTGGCTGTTAGCCCGCCTCATAGAAGCCTCTCTCTACAGCAAATGGGGAGCATCACAGAAAACCACAGCTGGACGCAATGTGGCAATGTGGAGGTCGACACATGTGAGGAAACAAGCCACATGGATACATCTACATCACACATCTGAATCTATGGCTAAGGAAATATGGCAGAGGGCATGGGAAGGTAATGACAGCTAGAATATCAGGGAAACTGCTGTGAAACAGTCTCCTCAAAACATCTGCATAAACAAGACCAGAACAAAGGCAATATCAATGGTCATGGTAACATGGAAGGGGGAAATTTCACAGGGTCCCACTCCTAGACAAAGATCTACGGGCAACTCAGACTTCTGGGAGTGGAGAATTAGCCTTTCCCAGAGATGAGCCTCTTCTTGTTGTCCAGTGTACACATACACACACAAGCCATGTACACACAAGTAAAGTGAACTTAGCAAGGCATATTTATACACTTTTGCATATGCATCAAGAATATTAAAAGAAAAGGAGGCAATCAGCTTGAGAGTGAGAGGGACATGGGCGAGGACATGCATTGGTCTCAAGATGCTTGACAGCAGCGAGACTAGAAGCTCAAGTCAAGTGGAAACAAAAATAAATCTGAATCTTTCCCTAGAAACCTAAGGAAAAACCTGTTACAGGACTAACTCTGGTTAGCTCATCCCTCCAGCACTGCCTGCGACTCTGGCTCTGGCCTAGCTGAGTCAGAAGCTCCAGTCTGACCAGCAGCAGCAGAAGGAGCCACCCCATGACCACGTAGACCAGAACCTGGAGATGGTTCCTGGGGAAGAAATCTGGGCCCTGTTGGCAGGAAGCTGCCTGCTAAACTACAAAGCTAAACTACAAAAATAACCATTTGCAATGTCCCAAGTGAGACAGTTGAACATTCTCAGAAGCTTGTTGGGAAAGCCAGAGATATGCCTTTCAGGAAGACAGTCCCATAATGTTGCCATAAAAACCTTCAAAAGTATTTATACCTTCATAGCGAACATTTTTTACTCCCCAAAATCTAATTTATAAAATGACTGAATATGTTAATAGAATGTACACAATAAAGAGGAACAGATAACAAAAATGTTTGTTTGCATTAACATTAGCTATAAATAGCAAGGGTAAGGTAGATAACACTTTATAGATGATAGATACATGCAGAAATATGAAAGACTAAAATAATTTAGCAATAGTTATTTCATACTTTGGGACTATATAAAATACTCGATTTTAAGTATTATATGTGCTTGCATCTCTAATTTTCCTATCATGATCATAAATTTTAAGTCACTTTTCTTTTTTATAATGGCAAAACTAAACCCTGTATTTATTATCTGTGCCACACACACATTTGCTTTTAAGTCATCTTTCTTATCTTAGTCATGATCAATAGCATCTCTGGCTATCACTCCTCCATATTTGACTGGTTTGAACATGGCAACACTTGTGACAGAAGAGCAGGTAGACAGAGTGGGTGGGACAGATGGAGGGAGGTGTAATTAGCAGATAGGGAAGAAAAAGGTCTCCCCCGCCCAAAGAAATGACTTCCACTGATAAGGATAGGCCTTCATCAGAGCTCCTTCTCTTTGCCAAATACTTGAAAGTCAAGAAAACAATCCTTGTGGTGTAGTCACATCATAAGTCATCCCTGACCCAGAATCTACCCCTCATTGTAGCAAGGGTACAATGACTAATTAGAGGGGTGTTCAGAGACATGATGATGAAGAAGATGATGATGATGATGAGGAAGAGGATGATGATGTATACAGTTTTCTGCCTGCATGTATGTCTTCAGGTAAGAAGAGGGCGCCAGATCTCCTTATAGATGGTTGTGATCTACTATGTGGTTGCTGGGAATTGAACTCAGGACCTCTGGAAGAACAGTCAGTGCTCCTAACCTCCGAGCCATCTCTCCAGTCTGCCATTATTATTCTCTAAAATCTAATGGAATACACAGAAAAAGACAGAACACTAACACCTAGAGCTGAAATCTCTCCATCCAGACCACACAGGGGATAATACACTAGCTACATCTGAAGTCTTTACCTTCAATCTAGAAAGAGTTCCCTATGCCTTATATTAAAAATATCACACACTAATAAGATATTTGAATTGAACCCAAACAATGTATAGTGTCTAATAGTTATTCCATCTTTCAGGTAGAGTTTGTTTTCTGAAGGTCAATAATAAAAATAAGGAACTATGGGGGGCGGGTGATTCTGGCAGGGAGTAATCACTAAACAGAAATGTCTGCTGACAAATGCACAAAGAGCCTGTTGCCCCTGTTCCCTCCTACTGTTCATGGGTGTTGGGGGCAACGTAGCTAAAGAGAAGTCCTTGCCCTGAAGCCTCGGCAGTTGCCTCCTTCCCCAAGACTGTATGGCTAAAGGCTTTCTCCAGGAGTGTTATGTTTTACACAACTCTTCCTATCTCACACACTATTTATTTGAACTGCTAGAGAAAATACTTACCACAGGAAACTGTAGCAAACAAGGAAATGAAATAACCCACTTGGTTGAATAAAATCATCCTTTGAAAGGAAAAAAACATCATGTAAGTGCTAGGTTTAGATCATATTGACCATGTATTGAATATACAATTTAATTTAATATATAGACTTTGCTTTTTTGGTAAATGTCTAAGTTGCGAACCAAAGCACATAATCAACAAGAGAGTGAGGATTTGGGGGGAATATTTTGTAAATAGAAAACTGGAATATTTATCATGCTTCCTAAGATACAAATTGAGACCTCTGGACTACTATTAGTGCATTTATATATTTATATATTAGTGTATTTGTTGTTAATTTTGTTTCTATTAATTCTGTAAAGAGAGTTAATTAAGATAATTAAACACTTATCAATTTTCTTAACTTACACGAAATTATTATAAATAAGGACAATAACATCACCGACAATCTCTACATACAGGAAATCTTTGAAAATATTCGAGCCAACTTAAAACTTTCAAACCAATCAAAACCTTATTCTTGTTTTTTAAAATGCTGTCTATCAAAATATTTATGCAAACAAAGAACAGTCCCTTCTAGATGTTCCAAACTCTCAGGAATTATTATGCATATTCCAAACGACAGAGGAAATGATCGGAATAATAGAAAGTGCCTACCTGGAAGGACAGCTGCTCTGTGGCTCTGGAGGAGAGGGAATCAGCCTCCACGCTCCGCGAACATGCCACTGCGGGCAGTATTTGCTTGGCTCCAGTGTTGACCTGCGCTCTGGCATCAGTTGCAACTGTTTAACCTGTCAATACAGTCCACAAACAGCCCAGTCCAGGTTCAGCCGTTTAATATGTTAACGATTCCGGGAAGTTGAACAAACACAACATCAGGGATGGAGTTTCCAATGGGCTTCCCTTTGCAGAGGAATCCACGTGAACAGTTCTCGACACACAATAAAAGGCCTTCCCAAGTGCTAAGAAATCCAAGCGATGGGTTATAGCGCCTGGTGAGAATGTAGAAGACCTAAACAATGATGCATTGAACAACAGTGGAAGTTCCACATTAACCATGAAGACTCGCCACCAAGCCTCGGCAGCAACGCATGGAGATGTGCTCTGCATGGGTATAGAACAGTGATGCGAAAATCAGTTTTCACAGGTCTTGGCACCAAAGCTCATCCCAGGAAACTCCAGCATCAGGCCAGCAAACCCCTGCAGACCCAGGCTCCAGGATGATAGCCGCAGGCCCAGCCACAAGGGCCACCTCAGTGGGACCCCTTCCAGGGCAGTCATTGTAGATCCAGGAACAAACCGTGCCCATGGGTTTGAGTATATGGGCATGACCCCTGGAGGCTCAGTTTCCAGGCTTGTTTCAATGTTAGCACTTTAAGTCAGTCCTCAAACAAAAGACCCTGACTCCACTGAATTGAGGATCCAGGTATGAACCCTGTGGACTCAATTATCAATGCAGTCCCAATAGACCCTGATGCCAGGTCATTTTCTGTGGACCCAAGATTCAATCTTAGCCTCACGCACATAGCTGTAACTCCACAGTTGGCCAACCTAGAATTTATTGGTTAGCTATCTGACTAGTAGACTTGCCTGGTGAAACAAGCTTTAAAAACCTAAAATATTTGTGGGGCTTGAAAAGTATCTCAGTGGATAAAGGCATTTGCCATCAAGTTCAAGGACATGAGTTCAATCCTCAGAACCTACACAGAGGAGGGAGAGAGCTAACACCCAAAAGGTGTCCTTTGACCTCCACACCCACACGTCTGTGTGAGCACATCTGCACACACATATTTGTATAATAGATGGATGATGAACTTAAAATTATTTAAAATGGCTTTTCATTTGAAAGTGCACACATCAGCTCACAGCCAGAAAAGTCATTAATAATCAGAAAAAAATAATATCACCCAAAGAAAAAAGCAAACAATCCATATGTGACCATAAATAAATGAGGGCAGCTGATTGCCTGTTTACAAACTTGACATAGGGACTGGAGAAATGGTCTGATGACTGAGAAAATGCACTGCCCTTGAAGGGGACCTGAGTTAAGTTGCTATCACACTCAGAATGAGGCTGGCAACCCCTTGCACCTCCCACTCCAGCAGATCTGATATCTCTAGCCCCAGCAGGCATCTGCAGTCATGTGCATGGACACCTACACAGAGATACACATACACAATAATTAAAAATAAAACCTTTCAAAAAGAATTCAAAACAACTGTATAGATGAGGCTCAGTGAACTACAAGTGAATACAATCAATGACTAACCAAAATAAAATAAAATCTTTTAAAAAGAATTTAAAACTGTCTAGAAGAGATTCAGAGAACTGCAGGTGAATACAATCAATAACTAAACAAGATCAGGAAACAACACACAAATGAAAAGAGAATTTTGTGTATTAAAGAAGACCTAGAATCCATATACAACACCATCATGCAATTTTCCAGTCTAATAATCCCAGAAGAATGGATAGAAACCTTTGAAGAAACACCAACCAAAAAGATTTCTCAAATATGACAAAAATTATCTAGACATATATAGATAATTGCAAAAGCTGTCTCATTAGTACACATTATATTTGATCTCTCAGGAGTCAAAAATGAAGAGACAGTTTCAGAAACAGTGAGAGAAATGCAGCTTTTACATACAAAGGAAGTTCATAAGGCAATTAGTGGAGTTCTTAGTGCAAGCCAGGATGGCACTCCATGACAGTACAACAGGCTTAAAATGTAGATGGTTTCTAACTTGTAACAGTTAAGATGTTTTATGCATACTTTACAATAACCATAAAGAAATGGAAACACATAAAATATGAAGAAAAAGAATTCATGAAAAACAATGAATACAATAAAGTACTGGATCCTTCACTATTATAAAGTGTAATCAGATAGATACATTTCCCATCAAAAGCCATAGAATGGCTGGTTGGGTGAAATCCTATGCCAACTCTCCCTTCTCTACATGTCATCCTCTCGTACAGCACGTCTGTGCTGTATGCACCACCCACATTCAGTCAGTGGCTTTCTCAGGTACCAGATCAATGGTCATGGCATCATAGTGTTCAGTATACATGGAGTTCAGGATCATCTGCATTTCAGGCATCCATTGATGATCTTAGAAAACAACAACCATTGTGAAAAGGGGATTCTTGTACATAATAATGAAACAGGCAGCTCATCAAAAGGACCCATTTGCTGTAAATATGGATGCAGTAAACATAACATCACCTAGATACATAAAGAAAATATTAACAGAATTGAAGGGAGAAGTAGACAGCAGTAAATAGTCAACATGGACAGGTCATTCAGACACAGGATAAATAAACAAAACATTGGTCAGTGCTGCTCTCCGGTACACATAGAAAACATTTCCACGCATGCTCAGAGCACTTGTCTCAGCAGCAGAAAGCACAACTGTTGAAGCACACATGTCCACTAGGACAGATCACGTATTAAACCAAAGTCTCAGCTAATACGAAAGGCTGAAACCACATCAAGGGTCTCTCTAAACACAGCAACGGGGAACCAGAAATCAGCTACTGGAGGAAATGGGGACAAGTCACAGATATATGAAAATTGGTAGATTCTGGAAAAAGCAGTGTGTCAAAGGAAAAAGTTGAAAATGAACAAAATAATATTTTGAGACAAATGAAAGTGGAAATACAGCTCACCCAAAATGTATGTAGTGCAGCAAAAATATAGAAGGGAGTTGCAGAAATAAAATTTTCATTAAAAAAACAGAAAAGACTAAAATAATCTACCTTTATATTTAAAGGAACAAGAAAGAAAAAGTACATAAGCTAAACCCAGAATCAACAGGACAGAAGCAAGTGAAATGAATATCAGAAAAACAAGGGGGAAAATCAAAAGTACTGAACTGTTCTTTCTTTCTTTCTTTCTTTCTTTCTTTCTTTCTTTCCTTTTTTTTGAACAGATAAAATAGAGAAACTGCTAGCTTGGTGAACTCTGAAATAAGAGTCACATAAAAACAAAAGCATAGATGAAAGAAGGAACACTATAATTAATACGACACAAATACAAAATATGAGACTACTGTAAAAAATTATCTCAACTTAGAATAAATTAACAAATTTCCAGGAATCTATTACTACAAGGCAAAATTATAAAAATTTGAAGGGATCAGTAATTTGTAAGATGATTGATTCAATAATAAGAAGAATAGGAATAATACTTCCTCCGAAAAAAAGCTCAGAACATAGTGTCTTTATTGATGAATTCTGCCATCAGGTAAAGAAGAATTAACATCGGTTTGGCCCAGGGTCTTTCTCCTTTTGTCATCATGTGCCCCGAGTCCCAGGCAGGAGACCTTCACCAAACATTCCAGACTCTTCCACCGTGCTGTTCGCACGCTCCAGCCAGCAGAATCATGAACTCTACTCTGTATACATTACCCAGTATCGGGTGTTCTATTACTGTGACACAAAACTGGTGGGGATATGAAATCATACGACCAGTTGGAGAGCTGCGCTGATGTGTGGTATTTGAAAAAAAGGCAAGTCAGTCTGGCTGGTGTACACCTTTAATCGCAGCACTCAGGAGGCAGAGGCAGGCAAATGTCTTTGAGTTCAAGGCCAGCCTGATCTATAAAGAGCTAATTCTCATATAGGCTCCAAAGCTACAGAGAAACCCTGTCTCAAGAACACCCCCCCAACACACACAAAAAAAGAAAAAGAAAGAAAGAAAAGAGATGGGGGAGGGACGAAAGAAGGAAGGGAGGGAGGGAGGGAAAAGGGGAGGGAAGGAGGAAGGAAGGAAGGAAGGAAGGAAGGAAGGAAGGAAGGAAGGAAGGAAGGAAGGAAGGAAGGAAGGAAGGAAGGAAGGAAGGAAGGAAAACCGTAAGCAGTAGAAACAAGTACCAAGGTGGTGTCAGGGTCTAAAAACTGGTGGAACAAATGATGTTTGTCAAAGGATACAAAGTTTCAGTTTTATCTAATGGACTGCTAGACCTCCCGCCCAGCAATTGTAACCGTAGTTAAACATATACTTACTTACTCACTTACTAATGAGAGAGAATGAAGTTTAAAGATTTATTGCATTTCTAATTATGTCTTTGTCTGTGCAAATGCATGTAAGTGCTCATGGAGACCAGCAGAGGGTGACAGATCCCCGGAAGCTGAAGCTACAGGCCCTGCGAGCCACCTGATGTGCTTGCTGGGAATTGATCAGGTCCTCTTCAAGGGCTGAGCTACCGCTCTGTCCTCTCGATCTTCAGAGTGCTGGATTATTATAGGTGTACCCGCCTGTGCCCAGGCGCTCATGCATTCTCAACATACACAACAGTCACCTGGGATGGGGACCGTGTTCAGTAGCTTGACTGTGGTAATGATTTCAGTGTGCACCAAGACATTACTATGTTAGACGCACATCAAGAACCTGTATATATGTAAATTAGGCATGCAAGGAAGGGATGGGAAATGCTTATCTTGAAGAGAAAAATGTGATTTATGTTAGAGACACACAACTCAGGTATAGGTTTCCAGTTTTGAAAATGTGCACATCATTCATTTATTTGGGAACACGTAGCTTGGGTAGTAGGGGTGTGTGTGTGTGTGTGTGTGTGTGTGTGTGTGTGTGTGTGTGTGTG